ATTTCTACAGTGATGATCAGTAAATCAGATTCTTTTCATTCCAGGTGAAAATGAGCGTTTCGCGTCCGAAGTTCGTAAATTGATTTGATAACATGGGCCTTCAAACAAATAATATGAAACCCCAGACAAAAACCTATGACGGCGCATATATGCACTCCATACTGCCGATATGAAGACGGCGTGGTGGCGTACTTCATCCAAACACGGCGTACGATGTATTGTCTACTATTATTTCCATGAGGGAACTGTCATACTTTCTCGTGATCTACAAGGACATGATGACACCCCCCCCCAAGAAAAAAACGGCTACATCATTTCCAATACCCAGGCGCCGCCACATTTAGATAAAGTCCAGCCTGGCCGTCATCCTTAGATTATGATGGTGCAGAACAATCCTTGTGCTATTGGAATGACCCATTTTCCTTTTAGAATAAGGGCTAGATTGTAAGCTATCTTTACGGTAGCTCGATTACTAGATGCGTAGCCTTTCGAGAGACGAAAAACGCTGAACTGCGATTGTTCAGTCTGTGATCTTAGCGAATTGTAGGCAAAAGTGCAGGTGCTAACGTATTTGGGGGGAGGGGACCACGCGGCTCGCGGCGAGCGATGACTCATCTGCTCTTCTGCTCCCTCCTCGGCAAAATAGAAGTAATTTCGTGTTTAGGGCATGAATATAACACCTCCCTAAGTGCTATATGCAAAAGGTAAAACAGTTAACGCTGAAAAGCGCGAAGAAACAACTGTAGGCTGGAAGATTCTTGCCTAATCTACAAGGGAATTAGTTCCGGCCTAGGTGAACCCTTTCGACTGTGAAAAAGTAAAAGTGACACTATTAATAAGTTGACGCAGAACCCAAAGAGGAATCTACTCTAATAGCTCACTAGGAAATCGCAGAAATTGAATCTTGAGCGGTTTTCACGCAAATAGAATCACAAGGCATTTCACCCCACCAATTCACTTCACCTGTTACTCGAAGTCCATTTGTTTTCAGCTTCTGTGGGCATTCTCAGCAAGTTCCGGTGAATCTTGTTTGTTTCATTCTAATTTGGCTGCTAGATTCGCGCTTCAAGTATGCCGATGAGTGAAGAGCCGATGAGTCATCACTCGCCGCGAGCCGCGTGGTCCCCCAAACTACGTCAGCACCAAAGTGCATCCTTGTGAAGCGTTGTATACATAACTGGAGAGAGAACCGGCACCCCGGGAGAGAAACGCCGTAGAACTGGCGCATTTTCGAAAATAGCATGATACGTATCAACCAGAAGCATCAGCGATCGTCCTCGCAATTCCACGGTCTTCCCCTCCCCCTTCGCTGACCCTCCCGACCCAGGTCTCCGGGTCAATAATTATCTCAGGCTTCCTTGAATCGCCAAGACCTCACATGCTGAGCATAGCCTTGCGCTGCAATGAAAACTGAATCATTCATTCAGTGCAGCAGGATCCGCTCCAGAATGCCACGCCTAACAATGCTCCCTACCACTGACTTTGAAATTCTAAACAACTCACCTATCTCCCAAAATAGAGCGTCCATTCAGCTCATCGACGGCGTCCTCTGCATCCCTTTTATTTTCGAATTCAATGAATGCAAAGCCTCTCTTCATGGCGATGTCGGTAATTTTGCCATATCCTTGGAAAAACCTGCAACAAGCTCATACATGGGAATTTCACAAAAAAGCAATGTGCTCAACCAACCTTTCAATGTCACTTTCTCGGGCGCGGAACGGAAGCCGCCCCAAGTAAACTCTCGCCATCTTCGCCAGCCTGAAAGCTAAAACATTCGCGTTTATGACCGTGCATCACGTTTCACAACGAAGGCGACAAGAAACATCCTTCAAATCTAGAAGAAACAGAAGACAAAGTGACGAAGGCACACATTACAACGCCATCCAAGCGGACGCCGCCTCTAACGAGTGCCACCATTGATCGAGCAGGACTGCGAGAGAAATGAGCGAAACGCGCGAAGTGCGACGCACGGCCCCTCGCGACGCGCCCTTCTCCGAGTAAACTCGTACCAACGCGCGATGACTATTTGCGAAGGCTGGGTGGGCAATGTTTGCGGCCGAGTGCCAGGACTTGTGGGTGACACGGGCTCTTCAGTTATGGTTCCGAACATTCCCAAACGTTTCTAGGCTATGTGGGAGGAATCTCACCTTCCTTTCTTGAAAAATGTGTGGAACACAACAGGGGATTTTTCGTATGTCAGAAACTAAAGTTTAGGACTAGTTGTGGAGCCAAGTGTGTCTAATGCCCAAGAGAATAATGCATGGTAAGATATTTCCCTGTAAAAAACGCGAAAGCACGCAGCTACTGAGTACTGCGAAGGTCTGAATAACCTAACCTATGACCAACTCAAGCAGTGCTAGGTGGCGTCCATATGCGCAGTGAAAAGTGCAGACGACAAAATGAAAATCTAGGGGAAGGAAAAACCTCAAATAAGGTCAGGTCGAGGTGAACAACGTCCACACAAAGGACGGCCGTGACCAATCAATGGCGCACGTGAGATCGACAGCGGACGAGATTGCCCCTTGCAAGGTCATCCCTGAATCAGGGTAAATGTTTCGAATATCTTTGGCTCGGTGCCAACGATGGGTTGCTTGCGATTTCATGATGATATTGCTATTTTAACAGTTTTTTTATAGGCGTTTTTGGTCATATTGTGTACGTATTGTGTATAGAAACGTTGTGTCGATCAAATTAATGTGTTGCTACTTCATGGTTTC